TGCAAGTCCTTTGTGATGAGTTGGCGCCCCTTACAGGGCAAACCTGGAATAACAGGCTGTGCTCCTTGGTAAAACCCCTAAGCTGCTGTGACCCAGATGTTGGCCACAGCATGGCAGGGTCACAGCTCTGGGCTGAATCCAGCCATATGGAGGCTTCTGTGCAGGTGGCCTGGCTTTTCCTAAAAAACAATGGCTCAGTGATTCCAAATTGCCCAGAGTCTAAGGATAAGACCATGTGGGTCCCCATTGAAGCTGAGGTTTCTGGATATTATGCTTCCTGCTGTGGGCTCAGCATAACTGTGTCCTTTAATGAATAAATAATTACTGAACCTTCATCAGTCCACTGTCCTCTACAGAAAAGAACAGAAAAAGGCTTGAATTTTTAAGCCAGTGATAATTATACTGAAGCTACATGTGGGCTAGTAAACTGATCTATGTACACTTACAATAGTAATCAAACATTTGCATGCAATTGCAGAAAAGATTTTTTTTTAATTTAACATATTTTCTGTAAATAGAAATTTTTCATTACAATATGCAAAACATAAGATCTGAACTTTTTATGCTTTTGTGGCATATAGTGTCATGTAACAATAAAGCTGACTCTGAATCAGTGTTTACTTTCATAACAGCTTCACAAATATAAGGCACACAGTTAACCAGCTACAGCAGGAAATCACCTGGGAAACGGTTGCACTGTTTACCAGAGATGTAAGTGTTTGAGGGATCCTTTGCTTTGACTCTCCTGTTCTCTTTGCCCTATACTGTATGAGTTCTGTGGGACTGAGGTTCTGGGACTAGGCAAGTCAGGTTATGACTGGGGCTGGGAAATTTATAGGGTTAATGCATTGCATTAATTTTAATGTCACGGCGAGTTATTATTTCTTTAATCACATTAACGCATGCAGTATTGTGAAAGCCAAATTTGAGAACAGTATGAGCAAAGATTTTCAGTTGAGACTTATATTCTTTCCTGGTTGTAAATAATGTGAGAGTTTAGGTTATGATGTTGTACAGAATCCCAGCATTCAAAGGTAACATTAGAGTCTCACGGTGAAATGTTACCTGGGGCCTGTATTACGAAGCAGGATTTCTGGCTTACATAACTTGTCGGATTTTAGGTAGCTTGAGCTAAACACAAGTGAATGAAAATAAAATTAATTTAAGCCAGACTACTTTAAATCCAACAAGTTATCCAGCTACTGTAAGCAACAAAACTGGCTTTATGATGTAGGTCCCTGGTTTATTTCATTTTTAAAATTGCCAGATGGAGGCATACATAAGATAAAAATAACATAATCTGCAGTTTTTATTCAGTTTTATTGGAGGCTTATGCCTTACAATCTTAAGATCTTTCATGTTATTAAGAGAACTTTCAGTGGTTGTCAGGCTGCCGCTTTATGAGCCATTTGCCCTATAAGGTTTTAGATTTTAGTTCAATCACACAAGTTGGACTTAAATAGTTTTGAGCCGACTTTAAGTGGAGGCACCCTTACCATACAGGGTGATGGTGCAATGAATGGGAGACACGTAGCCAAAGTGTGTGAAAACACAAAAATGACATTACTGAACCTATGCCACTCCTTCTGACTACCACACACATACACACACACACACACACACACACTGCTCACTGTGCTGGCCACCCTATCTACTTACACTGTAACAACACTATACATGCTAACTACACACCGCTATTTACATTATTCACACCTGGTATTAGTGCAGCTTGCCACCACACTGTATGATCGGTACCCCAGCCCTGCAATATTCCTCTTTAGTGTCTTTTTGAAAGCACTGAAATTCAGCTTGTACTTGCTTGCAAGTAATACTTTTGTTGGAAATGAATAATCTGTATTTTGCAAGATCAAGTCAAACCATTAAAGAAATAGAAAAATTTGTGTCATCCTCATGAAAAAAAAATGTTACAACGAAATTCAGTTTTTGTTTTTTTGAGAAGACCAATTGACTTTATCTTATCCTTTATGGTATATTAAAATTATGTCAATTGTTGCTCTGATTTGAATATTTTTAACCATCTTCATCAAATAGGTAGGCAAATATCAAAGAATACAACTAATGAAATGTTTTAAAATCTTTCAACTTTACTGCATGTCACCCACGATAAACAATCAATTTTTTAAATAGGATTTTTGCTCAATTATTGGTTGGCATCGTCGATTTTTCCTCATCAACTCTTCCCCTGGACTTGATGAAATATCTTTTATTACAAAAATAAATGGTAATATAACTAAAGTGATTAACTATAACTTGTATAATTTGAGTCTCTCTTCAAACTAACTGTGAAAATCAGAGGAAACCGATATGTTACAGTAGTGAGTTTGATAGAATGATCTATATACATCTCTTTGTGTTAACCTCACTTTAATTTAGGGATTCAGTGTGTATGATTGTAAGTTTTAATGTTTGGTGTGATTAATCACAATTAATTAGTATTTTAATGGGTTCACAGTCATAGTTATCACTTTGCGTTTTCCTTCCCATTTCTCTATCAGCAGATAGTTCTACTAGTATTACCTCTGACTGCCTTTGAAGCAACAGCAATTGGTGACAAAAAATCTGAGGCAGTAAGAAAATTAAACATTTTACAATATTACAATACTGAACTTAATTTAATTTTTTAAATGATGATAAAATTTTACAAATCAAATTGATTTTCACAATTTAATCTCGAAACCAGATGAGGTACTCCTTCCTCTAGCTCTATGGACCAGCTGCCACTGCATTGAAGTATGCTGTGACAGCCATGCTGCCTGACATTTCTATGGAATTCAAGGTCACCAGCAATGCAGCAGACTGAAACAGTGCCGCCTCCACGCTTGACAGCAGGAAGCACACATGCAGGACTGGGGCGCTCATCCTCTCCGCATTGACAAATAGGTAGTGGATAGACCCAAATATGTCCAAATTCTGATTCATTAGTCTACAGTGATCCTGTTATGGACAAGTTTAGAGCATGTGTGTGCATTTATTATTCCACAATCCCTGTCCTTCAGTCCCATGGTATTCTGTCAAGATCTGAGGCTTCACTGGTCAATTTCATACCATACCCACATTGAAAAATTAAGAAGACTGAAAAAAAAAACTCCAAATGGCACAACCAGGGGTGTCAGGGGGGCATGGATACCCTGGCAGATTCAGGGGCCCAGCACTTGTCAGGTGCCTTTGAATATGTACTAGTATATGTAAAATTGAGTTGGGTGGCACAAAGTGACATTTTGTCAGGGGGGGTGGGGGGGCAGGATTTCAAGATAAGCTCCTGAGCAAAACCAGTCTCTCGAACCAGGATACTGCACAGCTTTGTTCCCATTAGTTGAGGCCACGCTTTTCTCTCTCTCTCTGTCTCTCTCTTTCTCTTTCTCTCTCTCTCTCTCTCTCTCTCTCTATCTATCTATCTGCTGCCTGTAGTGTATAAAGGCACTGTATCTGTAAGGGAACATTTAAAAAAAAGACAAAAAGCCTTCTGAACTCTGCAAGATATGTGTTATCATTGGCATAAATTAAACTGGTGAGTAAAACCCAAAGTTATGCCCTTTTATGCAATACCCACGCCAAATTTAATATAATCAAAAATGCTAACGCAAACATTGAAAAATGGAATGACCTGGGCCCGGTTTCTCAAGACCTTCTTCACACTAGGTCCTTCGTGAGCTTAAGTTGTCTCAACGCTCCAACATGTTTCACGAAATGTTCTTAGTATATCTTCTGTAAGATATTCTTTTGTAAAGTAGGCCTGAGCCTTTCTTTGCTGTGTCTTATTGCTGTTGTTGGCTCATACTGCTCATTTCAAATAAGAGTATCATCATTAAAGGTACAGTTTCATAACCAAACATCACTTAACTTAAAAATAACTAGTCCATATAATAAAATGATTTTGTCTGATACATGACTACATCATCAATAGGTTTTGTCCTTGTCTGAATTTGCAGGGAATTGTCCTCAGTAATGCATGGATTCATAATGAAATTTGCTGTTGATTATATATTTATTTATTAATTGGGAAGGAAGGGGGGGTGGGTTCTGTTGAAATTGGGGTGGAGGCGTTCCCCCAATTTCCGACGCCGCTGGGATGCACAAGCCTCTTTAAATGTGCCCAAGTCACGCTGTGTCAAAACTTTGGTTCATGAGATTGATAAGAGTCAATGCTGCAGATTCATTTATATGTAAGTCTAATATGTGTTCCCCAAAGAAGCACCCTGTAATAGTTCTTAGTAGTCAATACTGAAGCACAAAGGACATTCTCTTATGATTAGACAGTAACGCAACTTTTCTTTTGGCTATTGTGCCATAGCTCGTCCCAATATCAATGACATGCACACATATTGGTGCATGGAGGTGTTTTGTAGAACAAATAAAATAAAATAAAAATAAAATGGTGGTAGGCCTACTACAATCTGGGGAAGCGGGTTTGTGCACCTGATCGGCGAAAATCATATCTACGACTAGATGATTCAACTTGATAATTTTGTATTTTATTTTTGGCTCCTCCCCAGTTCCAATTAATGCAATATTTTAAAGCATTCATGCACAATTATATTTATAAAGAACACCATTTTCTCTCATGTGACAGTCAAGCAAGTGCTGCATAGAGAGAATAATCAATTCTCAAGCCATCGATGTCAACCAATCAGGTGTTCCAGTGCATATTAAGGTTGCACTTAAGAAACTCTCCCTTGAGCAATCTCGTTACATACTGTATATATTTAGAGTCTTTGTAAGACAGTAAGAGTGACTGTTATCAAGAAACCAGGCCCTCAAATACAACTCCTTCAGGGCCACTACATGCTAGCTGATCCTGTGCGCTGACCTCAATTCCTACTCTTACTTGTACATGCATGTGCGTCTGAACAAGATAGGGTATCGAAAAATACGTGCTTTAAAGTATAAAGCGACACGTCCTTGTAGTTTTTTGTTCATTCGCGTCATACTACATCTCCCAAGATGCTCAGCAGGCACACTAGATTTCCGGGGTCGCTGTTGCCAGGGGAAGGTGTGCGCCTAAGGACCTGTTGGAAATGACGGGGGGAAGAAATCGGACTTGTGCACAAAAATCAAAACAAATCCTAGAGGATTAGAGCCATTGACAACCTACGAATAAAGGGTGTGTGTTTCATAACACAGACGTACATATTTTTAAAGTAACCAAATAATAGCAGAATTTACAACTATTAGTGGGCGATGTACTTTTAATTCCCACCTGGTACATAGTGCAGCTAACGAAAGACGGCTAATTTGTTAAAGGAATTGATACGCCAAGATAATCGGAAAATCGTCATGAAATCAAACGATTATGAAAACGTGCAGAGCTAAAATAATTAGCTTTCTATGCAGGTAACGCGGCGGCGTCTTATATCTATCGGATAAGATGGTGGGCTGACAATGATATTTTTGTAGGCTAGCAAGCTAACCGTACGAGACCCCCTCATATTTGTGCCTTGATTGCTCTGACTAACCGTTTAAAATATCACGAATCTTAAATGCAGTATTTTTTCACTTAACTATACGTTGTAAATTGGCATCCAGACTACCTGAATGTTTCGCTGGATATACGCGATGCTTGGTTTGCTAAATTAGCCTTATTCGAATTAAAGGCACCTGTGTCTGTCAGTTCATTAAGTATCCACGTTTTAATGTGGGTTCCCAATTAACTGCCCTAATTATCGCTATAATACGTTCAGTGTTGCTTTTGAAACGTTGAGTCAGTGAAAGTAAAAATAACGGGCCAGACATCAACACCAGCCATTTTTTTTTTTTAAAAAGGCAAGTGATATGTATTTTTAACATATTCATTTAAAATACTTTGTGTGTGTGCATACTATATATATATATATATATATATATATATATATATATATATATATATATATATATATATATATATATATTAGTGTGTGTGTGCATGGGATGTCTTTTTTTATGCATATTTACAATGTGGTTAGATTTAATGTCATTTAATGGTACTTTATTGTATTTACGTTGTAATTCTGCTGCTCCCATTTTTATTGTAATTACTTTTAAACGGTTTGGATGTTCTCAGAAGGTAAAAAACGTTTAGCTGCATGACAGGGATGCTTGTCCACACTCCCCTACCTATAGCAGGAGGTGCAACTGGTTCCCAGGCCCCCCATAATGGAGAGCCTGATCAGCGCCGTGACCCCCCGGCCCCCGGCCCTGGCCAAACGCGCGGCGGAGGTGGACTTCCGCTCAGGGGCGGTACTGGAGCAGCTGTCTGCCCAGGTCCTGGAGCTGGTGCAGCTGGAGCAGGCTGAGTTTGGAGACCAGACTGCCTTAGAAGTACACACTGCCAAAGACTTCATCTTCAACATGCTGGGTAAGATTTTTCTTCCCTGATTTTCCAGGAAAATAACAATAAAAAAATACATCCGTCAGTCCATCAGTACTTATCTTGGGCACGATCTGGAAATCCTATAATTCCGGTTTGGATGTAATCAAAATGCCCGGACTGTCTTGTGTTTTCTGAATTAATCTTGGCTGTCCAGTAGGTGGCGCAGTCACCCCAGTTTTTTTTTTTTTTTTTTCTCCTCACCCCCCTCTCATTTGGTGCCCTGCTGCCGTAGTGACCATAGCACAATGTTTCTTCTTCTTCCAGTACGTAGTTTCTCTGTCTTCCTCATGCTGGCTCCACCTGGGGGAGGTGGGAATGAGCGCAGTGTGTGCTGGAATTTCGGCTCCTGTTACTTGTCCTCCCCCCTCCCCGTCTGAATGGAAGCCATTCTCGACTGAGGGTATTGTTTGCCCTAAAAAATATCGCAATGGCCGCTTCCCGTAATCCCCTCAAATATTGGATTATAGTTGAAAGCCTGTCCTGCAGTGTCCCCTGTCTCCCATTCTCCCTTCATTCTCTGTCTCCTCCTCCTCCTCTATCTCTCCTCCTTTCTCCCGGATGGCAGTCGGAAGCCTCTCTAAGACATTTATCCCTCTGCAGTGCGTCTTCTGAGAGGGGAGGAAGAGAGGCAGAATTTATGAAGATCCTTCATTCATTTCCCCATCCTCATTAACCGCTCCCCTCCCCCACTTGCACATCGGTGCTTTTTAAGTTTAATATTTTAATGTATATAATTAGCAGCGTGCAGAAGTACAATTAAACGGCTGGAGAATAAGGGTGTGTTTTGGGGGCCTTGGCCATGCCTGGCAGATTCGGTGGGGGACACTGTTCTGGCCGTATTTCAGAGACGTGTCTGAATGCGACGTGCAGACACCTTCTGCTATGTGCCTTCTCTACAGCCGGGCCACAAGAAATTAATTGCGTCCAGAAGCAGTGCAGATGGTTCCGGTTTGATGGTAGAATGTCTCATCCACTGACATATTTTGTTCTCCTTGCTGTATTTTTCGTATAAAGCCATGACATGTTTTTTGTCTTGAAACATGATGTCTTGAACATTAAAGTCTTTGATTGACTTTCTCTAAAGACAGCCATAAACCTTAAGCAACTATGTAACCGAGACCTACGGCATTGTATTAGCTTTATTATGGTCCTTTGTCTCACATGCTTGACTAAGACTGTGTGTATACCTTGCAGTTTGGTGCTGATGGGGTAAGCGGTCGCTAAGGGCTGGAGCTGCTCAGGTCCTCTCCGGACAGCGACCTGTCACCTTCTTCCTGTCTGCCTCGGTATCTGCCTGCGTATGTATATGCAGGCTTGTGAACTGCCTATTGTGGAGGTTAGCATGTAGCGTGCCTATGCTATATTGCTATATCGTAGCCATTATCCATTATCTTCTCTATTTCCTTCATTTCTGGCGAGGAACTGTGTTTGAGGCTGGACCTTCCTGTTCTGTGCTGTCAGAGGACTGTGTTTGAGGCTGGACCTTCCTGTTCTGTGCTGTCAGAGGACTGTCTTTGAGGCTGGACCTTCCTGTTCTGTGCTCAGAGGACTGTCTTTGAGGCTGGACCTTCCTGTAGTGTTCTAATGGAGGTCTGTGAAGATGCTCTCCATGCGTGACTTCCTGGACCAGACAGTGCTCTTCACTGGGACAGGATCTCCACATTGATGGGGAAATGTTTAGCCTGGCTGCTAACCTCACACCTGGTCGCAGACAGCCTGCTGTAGCTGCTGGGCTGTTTTGACTTGTTCTGGGGTGATATTGTAAAATAGCTGCAGCATAAAGTTTACATATTTCCAACTGCCTGATTTTTCTCAGTGTCCTCAAAAGACAACAGTGAGGAAAAAGAAGTAATTTAAAGCCCACGGTCCCCTTTCCCTCCCCTCTCAAACATTTACATTGCTTTTTTAATCCTCCCTTTGAAATGGGGCCATGGTTGTCCCCCAGAGGAACCAATTAAGCTCTTTGCGTTTTTATGGATTTATTTTATTTTTAATTTGTGTGCGAGGACAGGCACTCCAGCAGGTCCCGGCAGAGCGCTGGCTTGCTGAATGGCTGTGGGCTTCCCTCCAGTTGACAAACAGGCTGATCGCTCTCCTGAGAAGGCGGGGCAGCAGCGGCGGCCGTCTACCGGGAAAAAACTGCGTTTCTTTCTTGTTAAAATTCAGTTTTTATTTAACAGATTCTGTCCAGGGCTGGCTTGGCACACGAGTGGGCTGTGTTTTGCTTGCGACCTTTTGGTCTTAAATCAATTTTCTAGACCACTAGACTGGAATTTGCTGTGATTTGAACCATGATCTGGCTCCATTTGTAAATGCATACTGAAGTTATGCTTTTTTTTTTTTCTACAGATTTTTGTTTTATTGTGATGTTAAAATAAATTTTGTAACATTTGGTATTTAGGATTGTATCTAATTCATACATCCTTAATGTGAAAGTGAAGGTAAGATCTATTTTTGGTTTCTTTTGAAAAGTCTTGTATTTTGTTAATTGTGGTCCGTTAATTCCGTTGTTCTATCATAAATAACCAGTGGCCTATACAGATAGTTCTCCACTTTATCAGCTAATTTGTTCCGAATCATTACTCATTAATTAAGAATATGTAAAGCAGGAGGTGTTTTCCCATAGAAATGTAATTAAAATGACAACTTTGGTTCAAGGCAAAACAAAATTTCCCATAAATTTTTGCCAGGAAACACAAACGTATTATTACGAATTAACATTTAATCAAAAATACACGTTAAAACAAAAAAATCCTTTTAGAAAAACAAAAAATGCTGTATTGTTAAAATTGTAGCATTCACAATCAGTTGTGGTAACGTTTTGGTAACTAAATTTTCAGCATATATATCGTACAGTGCAAGGTACAAATCAGGCATGCACAGCCAGATATTTCAAAGTTATCTGAATACTCTGCTGGGTCAAGGACAGTGTCCTTGGGCAGTGTCATTGTTAAGTGCAAATAAAAAAAAAAAAAAGAAAATAAATTTTAATTTTTGCAGCAGAAATGTCTAGTAAAACTAAACACTGCCAGTCAAAGTTTTGCACCCCACAGTTTTTTTTTTTTAAACACTTTTCCATTAATTTCATAAACTGCATTTTTTAAAATTCTTGTCAGCACTGGACAGTTGAGTGAACAACTATAAATGAAAATATAAGTAAAAAGAAAAGCAAGCTAAAACGTGGAAAGAGTATGTAACAGTGCGTGTCTGACATCCTGTTAACTGGTTGTGTGGTGATGGTACAGTCAAATTCTAGGCTGTCCATTAACTTTAAATGCACTAGTTAATTGTCCCATGAAACAGAGGAGTATTTACTGTCCCTTATGGACAGAATGCCTCAAATTTTCTCTGCTGTTATAACTGCTAGAGGAGGCAACTTTGAATTTAAGATGTGCTATTTTCTTGCTAATAATAGTGAATGTATTTGTTAGCAAAAAAATTGAGGGTATTTTAAGTTCATGTTAAGTGAGTAAAATGCAAATGTAGAAAGTCTGCGTGTGCAAAAACTTTTGACTGGTACTGTAAACTCAAACTGGGAGCTCAGAAAGCGAGAACGACCTGTACGTTTGAACAGTGGAAACTTGTCAAGCGGAGAGTTAAAATGAAATTGCATCCTTCTTTCCTTGATCTTGTTTTGTGAAATTTTCCTGGTGTTAGTGAACACGGTTTATTAACAAGCCCGTAATAATGGATGCCTGCAGCCTGTAACTCAGAGCGAATGTGAGCATCTCGCCTGTGGTTTTCTAGAGCTCTTCAGCGAGAACGCTGTGATAAGGGCAATGACTAGCTCTGCCTTTTTATGTTGATGTGACGGGAGATGCTGACAGGCATACAGGCCCGTGGTTGCCCTGGGCTTGGGGAAACAGACACCCCTCTTTCTGTTTAAGCTGTGGATGTGGCCTTTTGCACTGACAGGAGAAAGACCTGGGAGGTCGGTTTTCTGAAAAGCAAGTTAAATGTCTGTCACTCAGACCACCGCCCCCACCCCCCCAGCACCATCGCCCTCCGCTGCAGCTGTATAATCTCACTAAACATGCTGATGTCTCACCTGTTTGGCTTAAGGCCCTGTGTGTCCCAGCTCAGTGTGCAGCATCCTGCTTACGTGTCTCTGGCTTAGAGGAGGTTTTTTTTTTTTTGGGGGTTCAGCTGGAGGGCACACAGAATTGGTTAGGCTTTCCGGACAGAGGCATAAAAATAAAACAAAATCCCCCTTACATTTACATTAACATCTTGTACACCAACCTTAAAGAGCAGTTGTTAGTTTGCACTCAGTGAGGCTTGGTGTTAGTCTGTCTGCCTCTGCTCTAGGTCCCGCTCACCTCAGACCACATGCCACACTGGGCTCCCTGTCTGGCTGTAGCACCATTTAACGCTCCAAGATGAAATTGGGTGGAAAAGAAAAGGTTTCCCATAAGTTAGCCCCTTTCCCTGCTTTTTTCTGGGTCAGTGCCTGTCATGTAAGTGCTCTTGTCTCCCAGCCACATTCCCCCACCTGCACAGCTTTCCACATGCATACACAATAGTGTGACACCAAGCCTTCCTGCTCTATCTGCCTGTAATTGGATAAGGAAAATCATAGGTAAAGGTTTAGACCTCACCCTTAGTCTCAGGCCCCTCGGGCTCCATAGGCCTCCATCTCTTGGCCACACCCCTCTCCCGCCTTCCATTTTCCTGACCACACCCACTCCTGCCTCTGATCCTGGCCACACCCCTCTTGCATCTCCTATCTCCCGCATCACAAATCACTAATTAATCATACTGGGCATATAGTTGTAATGGGTTTCACTTCTCTGTGTTTTTAGTAGAGTATGTAGTCATTAACTTGCTCTGTAAATGAAGAGAAATGAACAGGGTATTAAAATAAGTGTAGCGTGTCAGAGTAAATACAGAAACCCTTCCTATCACTTCCATTCTCTTCCTCTTTGCTTGCAGGTCTGGTACAGAAGGTGGACCAGAGGCTTCCAGTGGCCAATGAGTACCTGCTGCTTTCTGGTGGGGCCAGGGAGGGCGTGCTGGACCTGAACCCGGAAGATCTGGGCGACTACGCCAAAGGGGCCGACTTCGACATGGACTTCACCCTGCTGGTGCCGGCACTGAAGCTGCATGACCGTAACCAGCCCGTCACGCTGGACATGCGCCAGTCAGGGCCCTGCCACTCCTGGCTGAGCTTACGCCTCTGTGATCCCGTCACCCTGGCCCGCTGGCGTTTCTGCTGCCAGGAAGAGCATGAAGCAGGGCTAGAGGAGGATGGGGCGGAGCCCGAGGCCCATGCCGAGCCTGGCTGTGCCGCCATTCCCTCCCTTCAGTCCCCCCAGGTCCTGGACGGCTGTTACTTCTCCCCGACGCTCGTAGCCGACTGGTTCTGGGATGTGGTGGGGACGGCCGTGGAAGAGCTGCGCAAGAACCCCCAACGTGGGACTCCTGTTCCGGAGAGGGTGGAGCGCAACGGGCCCCTGACCACACTGGTCCTCACGGCTGGCACCAGCCGGGTCCTTTATGATCTGCTGCCCGTGGTGTCGTTCCGCGGCTGGCCGGCTGTGGCCCAAGGTTGGCTGACGGCCAACCACTTCTGGGACGGCAAGATAACCGAGGAGGAAGCCATCAGTGGCTTCTACCTGCTGCCCTGCTGCTCGCCCGCCGGAGGACGTCCCGACCGCGAGTGGAGGCTAGCCTTCTCGAGGAGCGAAGTCCAGCTAAAGAAGTGCATCCCTAGTCCTATGGCTCAGGCTTTCCAGGCGGCCAAGGCGCTCATATCCCGCCTGCTCTCCCGGCCCCGTTCCGGGCTCAGCCCCTACCATCTGCGTACCCTGCTGTTTTGGGCATGCGACCGCTTGCCCCCAGCCTACCTGAGCTCCCAGGATCCGGAGATTCCCGCTCGCCTCCTCCTGGGTCTCTTGGACGACCTGGCGCACTGCATCCTGGGAAAGAGCTGCCCTAACTACTTCTTGCCTCAGTACAACATGCTGGATCACCTGACTGACAGCGCTGCCCTGCTATTGGCTCGCAAGCTGGCCCACCTGCGCTCCGATCCCGCCGAGCACCTCCGTGCTGCCCTCGATCAGGCCCGGCAAGTCTCCCAGCTCAAAAGGGAAGCGGCGGGCAGCAACGGGCACCCGCTCTCCCCTAGGCATGGCTCGGGTACCAGCCACGCCCCACAGGATGACCGGTTGGCTCAGCGGCTACAGCAGCTGGTCACAGAGAATCCAGGGAAGTCCATCTCAGTCTTCCTCAACCCCGATGACGTCACACGACCTCACTTCCGCATTGATGACAAGTTCTACTGATGCCCCCACCCAACACCTTTGGTGTCTCCTTGATGATTTTCTGAGCCGTTGCTAGATAGGTGTTAATGATCTAATGATGTATATGAGAACTTTGAGAAGGCACTAGACAATCGGGAGGGGCGGGGGGGAAGATAACCCCTCACCATATAACACTACTATATCTATGGTACTGTCAGTCAAGTGATACCGTCAATGGAACAAGCTTCTGCTGCTGAAATTGAGACTATTGTGTGCTGAGATGCGCCTCCTGGTGCCCCAAAGAAGAATTACAAGTAGAAAAGCTGAAACCAAAACGGGGCTGCGCAGCTTTCAACTCCCACGAGTTCAAGTCAAGTCTGTCAAGTCCCACGAGAGGCCTGCAGAGACCCCGCATGGCTGGAGGCTCTCGCACTGCCGTCTCGGGGGATGAGAAATGGCACGATTTAATGAAAGAGCTTATTCTTAGCTTTGAAAGAAAGGGGGTATTCCAAAGGCCTGCACTGCGAAATATCTGGACTTCTGGGTAATTTATCCTGGCTAATTCCTAAGAGAACGTGAGAATGAAGGTACTACCGTTTGTAATTGAATGTAATCGCAAGAGGAAGCCCTGCATCTCTCGCTTTCAGTCTCTCTCTCTCTCAGGGTGCCGTATGCATTCCAGCTTTTCTTTCTTCCTGCTTAGAGCGGGTCAAAGTCAGGACAGGTCCGTTGTCACAGTTTTCACTTGGAGGCGATGTCATGGTGCTGATCAGCCTGCTGGGGCAGGTTGCTGCGTACGGGGGCCTTTGGTGTCTGTAACACTACAAGCTGCCTGCTCGTCCTTCCCCTCCACGGTCTCGGTCATGATCGTACGCATTCCTTATCTCTAAGGGAGCGTCGCCTGCCATCAAGTCTTCTATAAGGGCTCCGCTTCCAGTGTTCACTTTACACTATGAGTATTTTTTAAAGGGGATTTAATATTGCTTCGTTTTCTAATTTCCAGTCAGCTTTCAAAGCTTTGTTGTCCTTTGAGCTTTTCTGCTAGCTGCATGGTGGGCTCGCGTTTGGGAGAAAGGACAGTCTCTCCATCGCGCCGCCTTCAGCGGGTTCTCCATCCGCACTGCATTGCAGGAGAACGAGAAGGACAGAGACCGGACAGTGTCACCCCCTTTGTTAGGGGATTAGATGCGGGGTGGTAACTGGGGGCAGGGGGGGGGGTTCCTATGCCTTTGTCCCCCCCCACCAGGTTCCCCGCAGTGCTCACAGAATGCCACCTCGCTGCCTGTGAACCTTCTGAATGCTGCGGCTACTTCTGAGGGGCGCTACTTCATCCTTTTGCTGGAAGTTTGCAACGTTAGCGTCGCATGTTTTTGCCAAACAGGCATTGCGGCAGTACACTAAGTACTAGGGCCTACTGAGGGTGCTTCTAGGCTGCCTGGATTAGCGATGGTCTCTTAGCGGATGCCAAGCGTAGAGGGTTGGAGACCAGCCCTCAATGGACTGTCTGAACTGAAGCCTTCGCCTGCTCTGTGTTGAAGGAGCTGGGACTGATCACACCCAAGGTGATTTTTCACTTGTAAAATCTTTTGAAAAAGCATTAATATTCTCACAGTCATCTATAAATATTATGGTACATAAAAAAACATAACATCAGCCTCAACTGCATGCAGTCCATTTGCTTTAGAGAAGTATACAGCATTCTGGTGTGAAACATGTTGACGTTTTGCTTGGCATTAAGCCCCGCCTCTTCCTCTTCCCATCTCCTGTGGCATTTCACAGATGAGCACGGAACTGGTGTTCTCGTGGCTGTCGCTGTTGTTATGGTTTCAGGGCAAGGTTTTGAGAACGAAGTGTGTTTCGATTGGTAGAAGGTGGAGGTGCCAGTTAAATCAGTTTATATTTACAGGAAATCATTAGAATAGAATGTATATTGAGAAATGAATGTAACTGAATTTGCCTCTAATAGTGCTTGAACAGGAGTCAGGTTAATTTGAGGGCAACATTGTAACTGAGAAACCCTTTGCAGTTGATCTCGTTGAGAACTGGGGGTCTTTTGGCTTACTTTTCCTTTGTCGCTTAATGATTTGGTCGTCTTGATTGTTTCTGCAAAGCATAAACTACACCAGGCTTGTTCTTTTGCCTAATTTCTTTTCCAGATTGTGTTGAATGCTTGACTGACATCACTGCGGCATGAAATAAACTTCTAATTCACAAGCATATGGCTTCTGTTGTGCTTTCTAAGGCGATAGTGAGGGTGCCTTCGTCCCCATCCCCCCCACCCCCCTGGTGTGATGTAGTGCACACTTGGACCAGCAGGGGGCACTGGCTGATAATTTTTCCTTGCCTGCCTCCCAATCCTGCAGTATCTCTGTTTGAGCTAGATAGTCACACTAAACATAAGCGTGTCAAATAAAGAGTGGAATTCCATAGCTATAATCACCGCTGGTCCCAAACTCCCTACCAGTTCATTTAAATCCAGCCCAGTTCCCAAGTGTGCCTGTCAGAGAAGAAGGCCTGGTTATTGTTTTTTTTGGGGGGGGCGGGGGGGGGGTTTCTGCGGGAGGCATCTTTTTTGGCAGGGCTGGAGGGGACCGGCTGCTTTCGAGAGTTTGGCCGGGTGTACACCGAAGAGGCTGCCTTATCTCAGTGCTGTTCTGCCCTCCAGTGCTCTGCTTATGTTATTGCGTTGGATAAATGTGATGACCCTCCCTGCTTTTTGGGGTGTCACGTTACCTGCGACCACCCAGGGGTGCACCCTGCCTCTCTCTTCAGCTGCGTAGCTGCTGTCATTGCGATCATGACCTTCGACAAAACAGTCTGTCATCCATGAGCGTTATCTGCATTGCTGATGAGGTGTTTTCTGGGAGTTTTGAACATTGACACATCTGACATCCGGTGGGGGATGGGGGGCACTGCCAGGTGGTTTAAGAGCATCACAGCCCCGTGGCGTTTTTTGGAACGCTGCCTGCTAGTGCCCAGCTGGTCCTGCGTCTCTGTCACAGGGATGGGTCAGCCCTGACCTCCCAGCTCGCTGCACTCTGGGTCGCCTTCTCGAGGTAAGAGATCTTTTTAACGCTCTGAGACTCTGGAGGAGCTGAGCCTCGAAGCAGAATCTATGGGAACCTCAAAATCCAGCCTATTTGTTTGGGTGCTTCTCCTATATGCCGCTGTAGGAGGCCGGTTTCCAAAACCCTGCCCCACCCCCACTCATCCTAAAACTGTGATAAGTGGCAGATTGGCGCCAGCTTTAAGATTGCTGCTGGTGTGAGCACCACACAGAGGCCGTGCTTTCATGGGAGCACGGGAGGGCGGCGGTGCCAGAATGAGGGTACCACAGTGCTCCAGGGAAGGTCTCCCATGGAATAAATGGTCTGCTTGCTGTCTTTCTGAAGTTTATTTATGGTAGTGTTTTTCACCTGTGGGGTCACTGTCTGCCTTCTCCTCTCTCCCGTCCGTTCTTCCTCATCCCGTGTGCTGCTGTTTCCCCTTCTCCCCTCCCTCTTCCTCTCCCTCCCTCCTTCCCTGGCTGCCTCCTTCACCAAGGAACGCCTTTGTCAGTGAACATTAATCTCCATTAGAAACGCGCCATTATTAATAGTTTGTAGGGCGAAACAGAGTGGATATTACTGTTGTATAGTGTACCTGTTTACGAAGAAAGAGTCAGTCCTGTGTTTACGGACCCTTTTCCCTAATGTAACTTCCCATTCATACCTTCTATCTATCTATCTATCCATCCATCCACCCTTGTTTTGTCTCCAGGGTGTCATCATATTTGAGATTGGAGGTTTGACCCAACACCCAGTTCCTGCTGATGAATCATGTCCCCCCCTCACGGTTTCTGCTGTGGAACACTGTGTCATCATTATGCTTCTGTGTGGTATTTGCTTTCTTTTCTTGCTGCCGTTGCAGCTGTAGCCAGTACTAATGGTTGTCTCCTTGACAGGACCATCTGAGAGATGATCAGGTAGCTCGAGATTCTTGATAAATCAGCTATAAGTCACAGTACTGTACGTAAACGGCTTGGTGGATCATTCTTGCTATTTATGTGTAATTAGTGATTTGGCTCCCATTACTGTTTGCCATCTTTAATCTAGATATATATGGAAAAGGATTTCTGTAGTGCTGCCCTGGGCTTCTTTAGTCACCTCCTGGTGAGGACAGACACAAATCTAATTTCCAAGCCTAGAAAAATCAAATGACAAACACTCTTGTCTATTACAAATGTGGCTTGTTTCTGGCAAGTTAGTGCCGCACAAATGCTGGAGGGAGTTCAAAGTGTGTTTTTCCTCATTATTTAAAGAAATTTTTAATTACAGTCCTTCAGAAGGAAATGTGAGTCAGGCTGTAACTGGTCATGCTTAGGAATCCTTACAGAGGAATCCCTCAGGCGGGTTCTCCCTGGCCGGCGCTGTGGAACGCTCTCTTTCCCTTCAGCAGGCTTCTGTTCCGTTTCCCCCTCTTTCGGCACCACCCAGCTTCGGCACTTTTCTTCTTCCTTCAGTGCCCATTGTCATCTTATGTGTATCTTAGTGACATGGCTTTTGATGTTGTTCCCCACAAGAGGCTCTCACTTAAACTCAAAGCGACAGGTATTTTAGGAACTGTAGCGACCTGGATTGATAACTGGTTAACGGATAGGAAGCAGCGAGTAGTTATAAGAGGCTCAATGTCACAGTGGGCCTGCGTTCATAGTGGGGTACCGCAGGGTTCAATTTTAGGACCACTTTTGTTCCTAATTTACATAAATAAGACACCAATATATACAGTAAACTGGTGAAATTTGCAGATGACACCAAGGTGGGTGGTGTAGCAGATACTGAACTAGCGGCTCAGCAGCTACAGCGGGATCTTAATTTAATTAGTGACTGGGCTGACACCTGGCAGATGAAATTTAACATAGACAAATGTAAGGTACTCCATGTAGGGAGCAGAAATATAAAGTACAGGTATTTTATGGGACCTACTGAAATAAAGGTAGCTGATTATGAGAAAGACCTTGGTGTGTATGTTGATGCTTCCATGTCTCATTCTCGCCAGTGCGGGGAAGCAATAAAAAAGGCCAATAGGATGTTGGGGTATATCTCCAGGTGTGTGGGTTTAAGTCAAGGGAGGTAATGCTAAGATTATACAATTCCTTGGTGAGACCTCACCTAGAATATTGTGTACAGGTTTGGTCACCATATCTTAAAAAGGACATAGCGGCCTTAGAAAAGGTGTAGCGTAGGGCCACAAGAATGATTCCTGGTCTTAGAGGAATGTCATACGAGGAAAGGTTATTTGCGCTAAATCTGTTCAGCCTCAAGCAAAGGAGACTGAGGGGGGACATGATCCAGGTCTATAAGATTCTAACAGGTTTGGATGCTGTTCAACCGAATAGTTACTTCAGCATTAGTTCAAATACAAGAACTCGTGGCCATAGGTGGAAATTAGCGGGAGAACATTTCAAACTGGATTTAAGGAAGCACTTCTTTACACAGCGTGTAGTCAGAGTATGGAATAGTCTTCCTGATAACGTAGTGCAAGCTGAATCCTTGGGTTCCTTTAAATCAGAGCTAGATAAGATTTTAACAACTCTGAGCTATTAGTTAAGTTCTCCCCAAGCGAGCCCGATGGGCCGAATGGCCTCCTCTCGTTTGTATAGTTCTTATGTTCTTATGGGTTAATATTGGTCATTAGAAGGGGGGGGGCAGCTTGACAAATCCACTCTGATATTATTGATAGTATGAAATTGGCTTCTGTTTTGCCTTAGAACGCACACTCCCAGACCCTGATTGCTATTCTACTTCCCACTGTAGCCCTTGCTGAGACCCGACAACCTGTTCTGTTTTTTGTTTTTATTTTGTGTTATAACCTAAATGGTTTTCTTTTGTTTGTTTTGTTAAACTCATCTCCACTGTGTCCACAACCTTTCTCCCTTTACCAGGTCACACGATCTTACTGTACTGTGCTGCTTCCTGTAAATCTGTTTGTTCTTGCCTTGTCAGTGCAATTAAGCATTTCCTTCATAGTCATGTGACCTAGGTCATATGATCTGCGGGTACCTGAGTGACTACCTGGCTATGGAGTCCCTCTTCAGCCCCAAGAGGCCAATTTGCTAGTCATTATTGAACGGTTCTTAACCTCATTGTTATCAGCTGCTCTCATGCAGTGCTTCAGATGCCATAGGAGGGGATCAGCAGGGAGCAGTCTGGACTATACACACATTTGTGTAATTTCCTGGAAATTAATTTCAAACAAATCAGTTTCAGCAGAAGTCGTTGAATGAGATGGAGAGTAGAGTCCTCTCCAGCTCTGAAGGATAATATTCTTCTCCTCCACATTCACCTTCTTGCTCCTTCCCAGTACCATTCCCGCATTCATTCATCTAAATTGGTACCTCCAGTCTCAGGAAAAGCAGCATGAATAATTCCAAACAAGACCTGTCTGCACTTAGTGTAATGGGAATATGCTTTGGGGTGGGGGTGGGGGTGGGGGGGTGCAGTCAGCGCCTCGTCACGTCATGGATGACGCAGGCGGAGTCGGGAGGCATCACTCATCTCGTACGCACTTAGGCACCAAAATCCCTCTTCAATTCCCCCCCCCAAGTAGAATAAAGATTGTAGTTAATTTCTGTAAAGAAGGACAGAATTGGCCAGACTGGCTCCATCGCACAGAGACTGCCAAGATGGCTGTGGTGACACTGAGCATGACCATAGCGTGCTGCGGCTCCTCCCCATTCCCAAAGGTGTTGCCTTTAATGGAAACCTTTGTGCGCTTTCTGCTTGTTCTCGTCTCATGTGTCTCTTGCTGCCAGGCGGCCCCAGGGGACCCCGGTTCTTAGGTGCACCGTACGCGGTCCATTTGGGAGGAAGAAAGCAAAAGCCAATGATGAAGCATCATGTAATTCCTCCCGAGTGCCGACCAGAGCAATAAGCTACCAATAATTAAAAAGAGGATGAGGTCATCAATTAACGCCTTAACACTGGCCAGGATGGGGGGGGGGGGGGAGGTGGAGACCTCATTCTAAGTGAGGGTCCTCTGCCGCTGCAGCACGTATTAGACGTGGTGGGAGAGCATTGTGCTAGCAGATTGACCACATGCACACTAGGGCAGTGATCACAGCAGATGTGTGGGAACAAACTGATGACTCATCAGGTCATTTTCCCAAGGTGCTGCCGCTGACAAGCTGAAGGAGGATGGGGATTGGCTGAAGGCTGCTAGATTTTCTCACAGTGC